TTTTAATATTTGAAAAACGTGAAGTGGCTGTATCTGTTACTTAATGATAGAGGGAAGATTTTTAATATTTGAAAAATGTGAAGTGGCTGTATCTGTTACTTAATGATACAGGGAAGATTTCTAATATTTGAAAAACGTGAAGTGGTTGTATCTGTTACTTAATGATAGAGGGAAGATTTTTAATATTTGAAAAACGTGAAGTGGCTGTATCTGTTACTTAATGATAGAGGGAAGATTTTTAATATTTGAAAAATGTGAAGTGGCTGTATCTGTTACTTAATGATAGTGGGAAGATTTTTTTAATATTTCTTATTATTAAATTTTTGTTTCTTGTTTGGATCAGTAATATTACATTAATTCTTTCGTGACCAGGAACTAGGGAAAATGTTTGGTTGAAGAGTGGTCATAACAACCATTTATCGTTATAAAAAACAATTAAATAGCATTTTAGAAAGTGCTTAATTTAAAATTAGGCACATTTATGTGTATTTCCAAATTAAGGACAGTTAAGCACAGAAATACTTTTTTAATTTTACCCTCTTTTCTGTCTATTCAAAGTCATTGACAGCTAAGTGCAGATAGCCTTTGTGTCACTTTGTTAAAATTGTAAAACAAACACAAATGAGTAATAATTTTTTGTTGAAATAGGTGACCTTTTACCATATTATGCATCTTTGCACTTCTTGCTTGGAAAGACTAAAGCTTTTTTATTGGTTATTATGGAGCCTACTAATGTCTGGTGTATATTGATAACCACTACATGAAAAAGCTGCCTACTAATGTCTGGTGTATATTGATAACCATTACATGTAAAAGCTGCCTACTAATGTCTGGTGTATATTGATAACCATTACATGAAAAAGCTGCCTACTGATGTCTCTTGTGTATATTGATAACCATTACATGTAAAAGCTGCCTACTAATGTCTGGTGTATATTGATAACCATTACATGTAAAAGCTGCCTACTAATGTCTGGTGTGTATTGATAACCATTACATATAAAAGCTGCCTACTAATGTCTGGTGTGTATATTGATAACCACTACATGAAAAAGCTGCCTACTAATGTCTGGTGTGTATATTGATAACCACTACATGAAAAAGCTGCCTACTAATG